CTCACTTTCTAGTTGGTAAGGATGTTTCTGATAGCTGAGTTTACTGAGCAAACATACTTTAGATAATGAAATATTACTGTATTTGAAGAGTCTCAACATTACTAATATTTATTACTATTATAATAGTTATTTCTTGAACTCCTACATTTATTTCCTAAATATATTAACAAGGTTTTTTAGTGTATTTACATACTTGACTTCATAGGTGGTACCTTGGGTAGTCATTTTTATACCCCCCCAAATTTAACATCATTTTTATACTCCCCCCACCACATTTGACAAAGTCTAGAAATTGATATGTTTCTTTTTGATAAAACTCTGCAACCGATTTTTTCAGAAAGACTCCTTCTGGAATTAGAGTCATGAAATTTTATTCTGTATTAGAAATTCTAAATTGATCAAATTGAATGTCGTTTCTCAGGTATGAAGAAGTGAAGTTAGAAAAATTTAAGAAAGCAATTATGAAATGTTGTTTAAAAATCATGGAACTATAAAATTAAATTACAAGATCAAAGAAAAATCAAAGCAGAAGAGATACTGTTGATTACTGTTGAAAATATTAACTATACAAACACGAACTCATAGATATTAGTAGAGTTCCTTTTACCTCATGCACCTGAAAAATGTTTAAGAGTCTTTAAAGGAAAGCTATCTTTGGGGAGGTGCAAAGCACTGAAATTACAGTTGTGAGCCATGGTACCCAGCCCCATTTTCATTTAAAATGGCTGTATTTGTTCTTATGTCCTGAATCTTGAATCTGCATAATTTTCTTCTTTGATATGAACTTTCTGAAGGCCACAGGTCACACCCACTTAACTTGTTTCATACAGTGTTTAGCATGGTGCTACATGCAATTACATTCTAATGTCCTTTTGGTCATCTTCTGGGACTGCTAGTTAATCATTCAAGACTCATTTCAGTAAAGCCTTCTCTGATCTGCCTTCCCCTCTCCTGATACAGTTGTTTCTATAGCATCTCAACAAATCTCTATTATTAGTCATCACACTGAACCACTGAACTCTAGTTAGGTTTATGTGTTATCTTCACTGATTAGAAATGAGCTGTGTCTTAATCATCTTCATGTAACTGTAGTGTTTAGCTCACTGCTTGTCATTCAGTCACTGAATGTTTGGCCACTGAATGAATGAAAGTTCCTCCTAGAATCAAGAAATAACTAATGAATGCTTGTGATATCATTGGTCTTATAAATACAAGGATTTCTGTAAGTAAATCATAGCCGTGGCAAAAAAAAAAAAAAAGCTAAAGTGACATATAGGATTGAGATCCTTGGTGACTCTAAAGTATCTGCTCAGTTCCTTAGTAGGTATTTGGAATAAATACCAAATAATAAGCCTCCCTACCCTCAGGAAGTTTGACAGATAATCGTGTAACCTATGGATGTGTATTATTAGCAATTAACCAGTTGGCTGATGGGAGGAGAGAATTGGCCAGAATTTGAATTTTAAGGAGGGAAATTGTACCAGAAGTTTTGATAATGGAATTAATTAGGGAATTTCATCAGAAAAAAAAGTTGATTTTAGACTACAAATTCAGTGAGAAGTAGGATGCAGCATGGCATGATGGATTGAAAATCGTTTCATGCATATGTGATAGCTTGGACCAAGGCTTATAGCTAAGAGATAATGAAACTGATTTCTCTTTGATCCTCTTGTTCTTGACTTAATTGTTATTTCTCAGTCCTTCTGGACCATCCCATAGATTTCCCCACTTCCTCTGTCTTCCTCTATCACTTCATGCTTCTGTCTTTTATAGCACAAAACCCTGTTTGTGATTATGTATTTATTTACTAGATTATTACCAGTGTCCCCCATATAGATTCAAAATTCATTGAGAAAAGAAACCATATATTTTGCATTTATTCTGTGTATTCAGCATTTGGTACAATGTGAATAAAAAGCAGTGGTTAAGTATTTGCTGAATAGTGGACAAATGAAGAAATGACTGAAAATTGCCTAAACAAGATGTTTAGCAAGGCTAGAGTCTAGGCTAGATCAAGGTGAGTAGGTCTAGTGAGGTCAAGGATGCTACACTTTTAAGGCATGTCTGAAGCTTATGTTTGAGGTACTATGTTTACATAGAAAGAGTCCTGGATGAGAAGTCAAAAGATGTAGATTCTAGCTCCAATTGCCAAATTGTACAATCATTAACCCATTAAACTTCTATAGGCAGAAGTTTTCTCATCTGTGACACAGGAGACTCAGACTAGTTGATCTATAACAAGACTTCCAGTTATATATTTCATACATTATTTATTAAGCATCTAATATGTGGACTACTTCATGCTACATGACTTGAAAGAGCTCAGCATCTATTCAGTATGGAAGATAAGTGGAATAAAACAAATATGCAAGTAGCTTCTCTTTTAAGTGGAAAAATGGGGTAAATATTTGTAACTCAGAGTCTGAGAATACACTCTGGGAAGTGTGAAAATACAATAATGTGGTCAAAGTAATGGCAAATGTGATTGTAACCACTGCATATAAAACTTGGAAGTTGTAAGGGAATGTAGTTCTATAATGAGTGAAACTGGAACTTAAATGATGGCTACTGAAGGGAAGAATTCAATGGTGGGGATAGAAAATAGAAATATTTAAATACTATTATGGCACAGTAAATTCTCATTAATCTCTGCTTTAATCCTTGGACCATGTGGCTGGGACAAGAGGACAACAGTAGTAGGCAATTACAGAAAGAAGTCAAGACAGGAGACAAGGAGAACATATGGTTCCGCTATGTGCCAGGTCTATTGTTAGTCTTCTTCACTACCGTATCCCATAACTTAGCATGACCTGTGGTTCTGAGTACTGTTTTCTTTTTCTAATCAATCAGGATCACTTATTCATTACGAGCTCTTTAAGGATGTCCCTAAGGACTTGCATTTAATAGGTACTACACAGCTAGATGGATGGTGAATTAATAATTAAAAGAATAAAAGACAAAATGTTCATGTTCTCTCAGAGTAACTATTATATCTTAGAAATATGCCTAGTTTCAGTTAAAGGAACCCATATATGTACTTAGCAAATAAAAATCCTAAAGAGCTCCTCACTAACCCTTGTGGAAGAAATAAGCATTTGATCTATTTTTTTCTAAAACAATAGCGACAAAAATCTGTATGTACCACTCTACTAGAAAGCAATTCAGGGTGAATTTTCTTGATAGGCAATGCTAAGATGTTTGCCAACTTCAACACCAGAAAACATTTAAAGTTTACTGTTAAAATTCATTTCATTAGTTCAGTTCCTAACCATTCAAAGAGTTCCCAAAGACAGTCACCTCACAAGACAGTTTGTTTTGGGGAAAGCAAAGTTATTGTTTTGTACCAGATTTTCCTCACTTGCTTTGTTTAGTGATGGGCTTCGTTAAGTAAGGCATTATATTGAAATGGAGCATCTTGTATCACTTAGTGTTTATTGAAACACTGTGTTATATGTGGGCGGTTTATGGTTACATAGAAGAGCCATGTTTCTGCTTTCGAATCAAAGGGAAAGATGTAATACTTGAAGTTGTATTTGTAGCTGCAGGGATAGACCATTTGCAGTATTTTGGACAATGACGAATTTTGTAAGAAAGTCAAATGCTCATGCAGAGTGTGGGTGGCATTGTGGGGGAGAAACTGGCTTTACTGATAAGAGAGAAGCATGTATCATTGTTTTCTTGCCTTATTTTATTGTCTTTTATGAACAGAAAAACTAAAGTGTATTTTAAGAATAGAAGAACTAAAATTTTATCTGTTCTTCTTTGGATTAGCTGTTCCTGAGTGTTCATGATATGAGGCCCCATTTTAACAGGAGTTAAGGAAGATCTCAATAGGGCAAACTGCTTTGGTGCAACAGTTTGTGGGGTTGGCATGTAAACCACCTTTCCTCTAGCTTCTTGCTTCCAGGTAGCATAATACTGATTTGTGAAATGGATTGGTCTTTCTGTCCCTGCCATTATTTCTCCTTAGGATGGGAAGTAGGAATTATCTGACTGGTAAATGTGTAAGCCAGAATGGTCCTATGTCACTCAGTCTTCTTCCTTTCGTATGCTCGCACTAAGATCTCATGACTTCCAGTGCAGAATTCTTTCTATTGGGCAGTCAGATTGATATGCTCTAGGCGATGGTTCTCAAATTGGACCTTGCTTCAGAATTCCCTGGAAACCTTTTTAAAACACAGGTTGCTGGGTGGGTGCCCCCCAGAGCTTTCTAATGGTGTGGGTTATTTCTAACAAGTTCCCATATGCTGCTGGTCCTGGGACTATGCTTTAAAACCACCGTTCAGTTAAAAAAAAAGAAAAAATAAATTTACTCTGCTTTATTAGCAATTCAATTTACTTGCCAGATAAAGTGAAAACAAAAAAAGAAAGTGCTGGAAAATCTTAAGAAGGATGAAGAAATAGTTGTAGAAACACTTTGATACCTTTGGGAATTAGACTTAAGCACGAGTGAAAGCAGTTTTAGCCTTATGTTGTTAAGACCAAGACACTGTACTATAGTGTTTGTTGTTGTTGTTAGTCATTACCAGAAGAGTAACTACTACTTGCTTAGGGAAGCTTGTATTTGCTTATGAAAATAAATAGAAGGTAAGGATCTCTAAATGTGCATTCCAAATTCTAATCTTTGGAGAGGGTAGGACTGAAGTCCAACATAATTAGTTAGGTGGACCCAAATTAAAAGAAAGCCTTCAAAAAGATATACAAAGACTGAACATTTTTAGAGAAGATATCTGCTTAAAATGGTAGTTATTTGCATAAAAAGGATATGCAGTAGCTTCTTTTATACTACAAATTTTACTAATGAAATATAATTGAAAGTTTAAAATATAACCCTCTCAAAATTCAGTTTACATACATCTAGAATCATGGGAGAGTTATATATCCCACGTTTCCAAGGGCCACTAGAATTTGATATCAACTTGTCTACCATTTTTTAACTTATTTATGATACAAAAAAAAATGAAGCATTTATCTACAAAAATCATTTTCTTTATTTTTAGGAATTGGAATGCCTTACTATTCGATGACGCTCTTGAATTATTTAACACTTGCATCATTTTTTTAAAGTTTGAGGTGCGTATGCATATGTTATCATCTAAACAATATTCAAAACCTTCTATGAAGTGAGATCACTCCTATACCTCTTACAGCTTTCCACAGCACCTGCTGAGAGCACTGTCCCAAGCAGTAATCAGTGAGTATGAATGGGCCCAAGGATAAATCGGGTTGGAGCACACCTCTAGGTAAAATGGAAAGACAGCTGTGATGCAGGGCCCCTACTTCTTCTTGTGAATGTCTGCTCTAAGAGACCAAAGTTTGGGACATTGTTTTTTAAATTTCAGCAGTGTATTTGCACTCTACTTCTTATTTGGAGCATTTTTTAATAAGTAGGTTTTACATATCTAGAAGGTATCAGGCTAAAGTCAGAAAAATGCTGTAACAGACATGATTTTGTCCATATGGAAGATAATATTTTATAATTTACTGTAAGAAATACTATAGGGTGCTATTCAGCATATTTTTGGACTTTTTGGCTTTAGTAACAGAATGAGCCAATACTGTTCAAGAATAGTTTACAGTAGATGCCGGAAAGAACATAGAACTTGGAGCCCATTTAAAGGAATTAAGGAATTCTTCAATATGATTCTTGCTGTGTATTAGAGCCAGCATTTCTTTCCCCTGTGAAAATGAACCCATGATTTTATAATGTATGTCATTGGGAAAATATGAATCAATTCATGGAATTTGAAATAAGAACATAGGGAGAAAAATAGTTCAGAATTTTCTGATGATACAAACAGGTAATATCCTATATAAATTAGCCTCTGAGATAAACAATAATATAATCTGCTTTGTCACACTTTCTTCCCATTGTCCTACATATTTCACCCATAGGTATGGTGTTAATATACCCACTACTGTGTTTGTGGCAAAAGAAAAGCAGCTAACACATGATTTGCCCACATTAACTCTGCTCAGTTTATAATTTGTAAAAAGAATTTTACAACATTCACTCAGGCAAGTTTTCAATAGAACAAGAAAGTATGTCTAAATTGGCTTTTAAAATAAGTATCAGGCTAGCGCCAAAATAAATTTTGACTGTGGCTTGCAAATCAATTCATTTTACATTCCTTCATCCCCTCAGTAAGCCCTACATATGTGCTAGGTACTGTGTTAAGAGGTAAAGATACAGAAATAAAGACAGTCACTGCCCACAAGCAGTTTCTTCGTGAGATGGAGAGAGACAAGTTAACTATGACCACAGTAGGATTATGACAGAATTGTTGCTTCAGGAGTTTCAGAAACACCTGGAATCCTAGCTTAGAGTTGGAATGCGGCTGGGAGCTTGGAAGGACTTCCAGAAAGTAGGGAAGTTAAGGGGACTAGCATTCCAGGAATAGGAAAGGTATGTGCAAAGGAAAGCAAGCCAGAAAGTCCTGAATTTTGAGAATCAAGGGTTGTTCTACTCTTTATCACAAATACCAAATGACTAGTTTTGTCCTAAGTCCTAATAAAGTCATGAAACAAAATGTAGAGGATTCTTACTTGTATTAAAAAGTAATTTCTAAAAAGCATTACTTTCAAGATTAACTTTTAAGTATTTTGGCCTTTGTAGTATATCATGGACAAGATAAACTGGGGGGAAGAAAGAGCTAAAAGAGATGCAGAGAAGCAGAAGGCAAGAGGGACACAGTGTGAGAAAGCATGCAGAGAAAGGAAGTGGTTTTACAGAGATTTACAAGTGATTTTTTTTTCCTTTGCTCATTCCTTCCTTCCTTCCCTCTATTTCTCCTTTCCTGCCTCTTCCCTCTTTTCCTCCTTCCTTCCTATCTCCCTTCCATTCCCCCTCCTTTCTCTCTTATTCCTAGAGAGACCTCCAGAAACTTACATGCTGTAGAAACCTGCTCCCACGGATGGTGGACCCTTCTCGTCACTCCCACTCCAGGCACCAGGAGAGGGAGAAGCCAACTGCCACCATTTAGGGGAAGGAAGGGGCTGGAAAGAGGTGCTGAGAACTGTCTACTAGGAGAGGCAAGTGTCCATCTCTGAGAAGGAGGAAATCAGGAGGAAGAAGGAAAAATAAGAAAGGAAAAGGCAACACTTTGAATCTTTACATAAAACTGTATAATTCATTTCTGCTGTGGGAAGATGGAATACTTTTTGTCCCTTTCTGAGAGACAGCAGAACCTTTCAAGCATGGGTATGTGATTTGGGGTAACTATGTAACTAGAAATACTGATAGAAAAATAATCTTTCCTATTCCTTTTATTTTTTCAACAACAGCAACTAAAAAGAGCACGAGGAATTTGAAGACAGAGATGAGCTGTGTAGCACCAACATTTTCTTTCTGCCTGACCTTAATACCTGATGAATTAAAAGGTCAGTTTTAAGTGCATCACATGATAGGCTTCCATCACTTTTATTAGCCCAGGTGGTAAATATGAAGAAAAAGAATTATCGCGGATTTTTAAAAAATCCAGCAGGAGGAGCTCTAACATGCTTTAGAGCTCAAATTTTAAAAACAAAACTTTTTAAAGCTAACAGAGAAAAACAGAGAGGCATTGTGCCTTGCAGGCTGCCATGTCAGTGAACAAATATGTGACTAAGTCCAATTAAATGGTTCGTGAGAAGCCAAAGAAGCCAAGCGATGATACTCATGGAGACAGAACGGCCCACATTTCCTCCCTTCCACGAGCCTCCTCTTTCTGATGCAGTTAAGCTGGGACTAGTCTGCAGTATTAGCTCTTACAAAAGAGGGAGCAAAAGGATGATTTCTGGGCAAGTCTAGATGTAATTCTTTCCCTCTGAAAGTGTCATATTGTTTCTAAACAAGTCTTTGACACTAGCTCAGGAATTTGAAATACATTTAAAAACAGAATTTTCATTGTTGGTTGAAGGCACTATGAAACTCCTAAAGGTTCAGTTGCTTCTATTCAGTGGTTTGTCAGATGCTTTTTTTTAAATGAGAGAAATGCTGTGTTTGTAAAAATTGGTGCTAAAAGGGTAACGAATCATACGTCCCCTGGGCCATGTAAAGAGTCTGCAGAAAGAATTAGAGCTTTCTAACACACACGCTAACACACACACACACACACACACACACACACACACAAACTGGAACTCAAAGAATTTACTCAGGAACAGTGAGGAGTGTATGAATTTAACAGTTATGGGATTTTTAGGGTAAGCTTTTCCATTTTGGACAGTGTTGTGGGGGTGGAATGGATGAGTGGGCATATACGATGATCAGAATTACTTAACCTGAAGGAAATTTTCAACCAATTCATTTTAATCTCTTGCCAACAAAAAGTCAAACTTTTGTTTTACACCTTAATGGTATGCTCACATTTTAAATTTTTATGCAGGCTCCTACAGAAACTTTAACTAGACCAATTCAGACCAAAAGTCACTAAATAAAGCTAGTCTAGACGGAAAATCTATGAAAACCATATGTCTTTTAGGCATCTGTCTTACAAAAACTACCATCATCCCAGAGAAATTGTTCACAAAATATGCTTTTAGGAAAACACTGCTGTACTGACCATGGAGGGCTGTACTTAAGAAGATGGCTGGACTTGGAAAGAATAAAGCCAAAATGTTTATAAATGAAAGGCTCTCATTTTCACATACATCTAACTGCCTGTAAACATTACTGAAAGGCTGGGCCAAGCAGATATCATTTATCTTACCATTATTCTAGAAGGGATCGAAAAAATTTACAGTTTTGTTCCTCCTCACTACTACAGAACATTAGACCAGGGGATCTCAAAGCAATTCTGTTTTCACCCACAGAGAACTGTTTTGAATAATGTTGTACGTGGATGAGGCCAATAAACCAGAACATTTTCTTCTGATTATTACCTCATCCTGCTGGCCTGCCAAACACAGCTAACAGGCAGGTGTCCGATATAAGTTACTAGAGGAAGATTGTTCTGTGTAATTGGTGTAGGGATCATCTGAGAGACAAGGGAAATCAGAAGGACTAGGGTACAGAGGAAGGGTGCAATGAGAATGCAGTAAAGAGGAATATTTTAAAAGTTTGCTTTTCCAATTCAGCATTGCTTTCTGAACTAAAGACAATGGTCAGTGCTACCTTCAGTATTCTAGGTACATAATGTTTCACCTTACGATGCATTTTAATTTTAATAAGTGGTAAGACATCCACACAAAAAGAATATAAATGCAAACTTTAGTGACAAAAATAACATTCGAACTGAAAACTAAATAGCGATGGAATCTATGAAAGTATTTATGAATTGCAAAGATTACTTGTAATCCTCTAGAATATTTTACTGAAACTTATTTCTCTGCAGAAAAGGAGATGTTGAAACAACAATTCAGTAGCAATAATTATGGGCATGAATAACTCCATGCATTTTTTAGTCGCCTAGAAGACTGTGAATGAACAATATACATCAAATAGCCACATAGGGCAAAAAAGTCCTAAGTTGGAAGAGAAAGATACCAGGAAAAAAAAAGAAATCTATTAGATGTAATCAATTATACACCAATGTTTTAAGCAAACACCAGAAACACTATTTCAATGTGTTTATTCAAAGATGTTGTGCTTTAAAATGAATTTTCAATATAAGTATGAGTTTTCAGGCATTAATTAATAAGATAGTGATGGAGTAATTTAGAGTGTTTGAAATATTAAAATGAATAAAGCAATTATGTAACATCCCTCATTAAAGATTCCCAGACTGAACTAGAACATGTAAGTAAGCGAATCACAGTCTACTGATGAGTCACAGGGGTTTTTCTGGTCCATTCATTTTAGTCCTAAGTGGTACTATTGTTAGAGCTAAAACCCTATGTCTGCTTTCACGCAAATCATATACAGAGCACAGATTTTAGTTTGACTTTAGACCTAGGTATTTGGCGGGAAATTACTAGAGTGGTTTTTCTAGTTAACACATTTACTAATGTTTCCTTAATTTTTCCACCCCAACAGGCAATAATTAAGGTGGAATTTGCCTCACATGAAGTTTTATTATTTTAGTCATTAAAATATTTTCCAACACTACTGAGAAGCAAAAAGCAATTCTCGTTGTTTTAAAAAATAAGTAGACATTTTCCTCAGTTTTTATAGCTTTTCCTCAGTGAATGTATTATAATGAGAGTAGTAGGGTAGACTTTCTGGTGTAGGCCCTTGAGCATGATACTTAAGGGTAGATTTACTTGAGGGAAAAATTTCATTCACTCTTAAAATTAGCTTTGAGAATAATCCAAATTTAAACTTAAAAAATACACATGGTACAGAATGTATCTTATATAAATACCCATTCTCAAGTGGAATAATTTCATTGCATACTCTCTGGATTGCAAAATGCCTTTAAAAGTCTTTCTCATATCCTATTCTCACAAGAGGTCTCATTCTAGATAAGAAATATACTAATCTTTTGAGATAAATGAAATACTGCAGATGAATGTTATATATTTAAGTATACAGACCAACAGTAAATTTAGATAACATTGCCTCATGAAAATCTTAAACCAAATACAGGTAATATTTTCATGGTGAAAACAAGTGGTATCTTTGATTGTAAAATAAGACCATTTCCCAAGTCATATTTAAAGCCACATAATGCCTTCTCATACTGTCTTATTTTCTCTTAGTTTTCAAAATTACCATAGAAGCTTAGGAATTCTCATGTGGTGGTGTATTTAGTTTGTGGTTATCCAGATCTTTAGTTTATTCTCTTTGTTAGTTGGTACATTAGCCCTTTTACCAAAGAAGCAGGGAAGGAATGGGGCTTATTTCTAACTTTCATATTAACTTACACATTTAAAAAGAGTATACCTTTTCCTGTTTTCAGGCTTAAATTACTTCCCAATGGGAGAAAAAGTTGACTTTATGAACATTTGGAACTTTACATGTCTCTGAGCAACTGAAGTTAAAAAGACCCTACCTTACTATGGATTATGAGTGATTGCGAATTTTGCTACTTGCCATTTTGATTTAACGTATTTTCAGATATCTGGATGGAACTGATTCACATGAGCTGATAACTTCGACCAGAAAACAGGAGTGGGCATTTCCTAGTGCTTATGGGAATAGTTAAAAAATAATTCCAGAAATCAGAGCATTTGCTATTTGTGGTTTTGCCTATTGTGTGGCTGTGATGCCTGAAAAGCAGCCACAGGGAAAAAAGCGCCATGAGGAGACTGCCCAAATACCTAGTGCCTTTAGACGTTTTGCCTTACGTAGGAATTCTTTCTTGGTCAAAGTTGCCATGGGATCTAAACTTGATGTAAATACTTAAATAATGTGGCATCAATGCACATGTAAATTCTCTCAAATCCAATGCCTTTCAACACTGCCCTCCCATCCCCCACGTTTAAAATATTGGCCACACCAAAAGTATAATATTCTTTTGGCAACAGCATTTGGTAAGCCAGACGGATTTAGTTTGGCAACTTAAGGGTGTAGAGGTTCCCCTAGACAACACTTACAATACATTGGCAATAGGAAGCTAAAGAATTTCAGTGTGGAGTGTTTTAAAATTTTAAATATTGCTGTGAGCAGCAATAAAGTTATGACAGGCAGGCAAAAGCCATCAAACCCTCAGCTAAATCCTCAATGTTTTCCTTATATTGCTGGAGGTAGGCATTTAAGGCACGTTTCAGAGTGAAAGATAGAGCATTTATATTTTCATTTTTAATTTCCTGGCTCTTATCGGCTAAAGCAACTCTAGTAAATGTTATTTAAATTTTGCTTCTAGGCCTGGCATGGTGGCTAACGCCTGTAATCCCAGAACTCTGGGAGGCCGCAGCGGGTGGATCACCTGAGTTCAGGAGTTCGAGACCAGCCTGGGCAACATGGTAAAACCCTGTCTCTACTCAAATACAAAAATTAGCTGGATGTGGTGGTGCATGCCTATAATCCCAGCTGCTCAGGAGGCTGTGGCAGGAGAATTGCTCGAACCCAGGAAGCAGAAGTTGCAGTGAGCTGAGATCATGACATTGCACTACAGCCTGGGCAATAGAAACTCCACCTCAAAAAAAAATTTATTTTGTTCTAATATTTCAAAGAAAGAAGGAAGAAGGCCCCTTCCCCCACCCACCAGTAGTCCTTTCTTCTAATTTGTTGCTGGGTTCCAATTTAGAGGAGAAAGAGCTATGACCGATGTCATGCCATGAATCACTGAAGTCGTTAAAAACATACTATCTAACTAGAACTGTCTGAATGTGAAGGTTTCCCTGTAAAAATCATTCTTTTCTTACAGTGAGAGAAACAAAAAAACGCAGTGATGAAACAGAAGTACTAGCTTGTGTGTCATCTACAGGTCTGTATCTGCTTCCTTGTATATAGGAACATTCAGCAGATTCCAACTGGTGACAATTTGCTGCTGACTGGCCACAGGAAGAATAATAATCCTTTACTGTGCATTTTTTACTGGCCAGTGGCTTTTCTGCCAGACTCCTGTCTTAGCTGTCTTCCTCTATCAGTCAGGTGAAACTCAGGGCAGGGCTGGGTCCCCTGAAACTCAGGAAGGCTTTCCCTGCAATGGGTGAAGCTTCACAATTTAGAGCTCCAAAGAGAATAATGACAGAGCTATTTGCTATTATGTGTCATGGGATGTGGAAGCAGTTGTGTTTGGTTAGCTTAATGCCAGTTACCACTGGGCTAACAGCAGCATATTGTTATATTTACTGCTGCCTGTCTGCATTTATGTTCCTTGTACTTTGCCTCATGTAGATCCTTTCTTATTTTCCTTTTCCTTTTGCCCTCTTGCAACATAGGATGTTTGGAAGAGTAAGATAAGGGACACATTGAAAACAGAGAGTCAATCTGAAGGCTACCTTGACACATCTGCAACGCTCCCAGATTCTGACTTTTACACTTGCCTTCTGTTTCTGGGCCTCGCCTAAACAGACTGCCAATCATCCGAACCGTGGCAGGATGGAGATGTTTGTGTAAAGTAGACTCAAGCTTGCAAGGCTCAAGAAGGAAACCACCAAACTAATTTTACTTTCACTTAAACCAGATTGAAACCAAGACTTGAAGAATTAAAAACTTTGACATTAACCATTGATTCACTCCAATGAAATATTGTGTTACAGCCAGAATCATGGTGAAATTGGAATGAGGCTTTTGATGGGATATTTAATTGAGGGGCTTACATTAAATTGGACCTTTTCTTTAGTGAACAGCATGTGGCCAAAATTCTATTTTCATTAAAGTATATTAAGCATCATGACAACTCATATTAAACCTGCAACAAATGATTAGTTACATTTAGAGACTTCAAAACAAATTAGATGCCTTAAATATTATGAATCAAAAAGAACATCTCAAAGTTGTTTCTATTCTTAGTAATGATATTTTTTTTAAAAATCTTTCCTTGCTTTTAGAGCCAGTTGCTAAAAATAAAAACTGTTCCCTGAAAAATCAGAATGCCTAATGATAAATTTATTTATTTGTTTTTTAAAAGAGGAGGATGGTGAGAAAAATAGAAAGCTCCTGGCTGACATCAGAAGTCACAAGATGAGTTCCTCATTTGTCCAAATGACATTCAGCTGCTAAAAGAAGTCAGACTTTTAGAGGGCTGCTGAGGAGAGAGTAAGTCAGGAGGTTTCCAGTACATGACTGCAGGGGAATCAGACACAGATTAGTCACGTAAGTTGTCCATGTACCCTTAGCCCACGACTTCAGGGCTCAGCACCTTCATCCTTCATGGCACCAAACCTTGATGTAAGGGATTCAAAGATACACTCATAAGAATAGTGAATTTGTCCTTACTCAAAATTTGGGAGACTGTAAAACAAAACAAAACAAGGAGATCTTATCCCTCAGTGAAAGGGACTTTATGTTAATTGTCAATTATAACAATATATAAAATATGTAAAAGAGATATAGCACTGCAGGCCATCAAGGTCAAACATTTAAAACAAAAGCTAAATTTTAAGGAGGATTAAATGGCTTTTATCTTTGTAAAGAAAAGAATGTGTGCACATTGATTGCCTATGTAGAAGGATTTATAAATCTTCTGGCATGGTCAATTTGTAATAAATTACTGAAAATGTGGGATTATGATGAAACTCTTTAAATGTGCCAAATAAAGTCAAGGAAACCACCTAAGTCATGGGGTGGGCATGAGTGAGACACTGGGATAATCCCGATGCTACTCTGGGGTTGTCCGTACGGGATGGGACATCAGCTTCCCTACGGGGCTCACCAGAGACTCCTTCAAGGGAAGCATTTCTTGGTTCTTGGTTTCCATGTTGTGTTTAAGTCATGTTGATGAGCTGGAGTAAAAGCCAAATACTTTTGAATAATTCAGTTTTGTCTTTTTAAAGAGACACTATCATACTTGGTGAACAAGGGTGGTCAAAAATAGTACTTATATTTTTCAACTTTTGTTTAGCTTGGAATATTGAGTGATGAGGTTAAAAAAAAGTTTCTTCTTCCTTGGTTGGAGACCCTGCTCCCACCCTTATCCCCTTTTGACCATTGCA